GCAAAAATTGGGTTCTGCTAAAATCGGGGTCATTAGCAGTGTTAATATGACTCGCTGGTGCTAACAAAACCTTATGCTAAAACCGAATTCTGCTAAAATCGCGTGTGCCAAAATCGGGGCCGTTCTGTAATTTAAACTTTATAAATACAGGAATAAATCCGCAATCACTACGTGGTACTAAGACAGGTGTGTACGTCGGGGTCTCCATATACCCCATGACTGAGGGATATCCCGATGAAGTTCAGCCCGATTTGAAAAAGAGTGTTCAAAGGGGAGGATTGAATTCACTGTCGCGAGCGAAAGGCCTGTACGCGAGTCGTATATCATTTGTGTTTGACTTTAAGGGTCCGTCACTTATTTGCGACACCGCCTGTTCGGCCAGTTTGACGGCCACTACACTCGCCATGAATGACATGAGACTCGGTATGCATTTGCGAGAGAGAGAGAGAGAGAGAGAGAGAGAGAGAGAGTTTAAAATCGTAAAACATGATCAATTTATTGAACATAGGAAACATCGATACGGCTATTGTTTGCGGCACTCATATGCTGTTCGAGCCATTTGTACTGCAAGTGCAACAGGAGTCGGGTCTGTGTTCGCCCAGAGGTGTGGCCGCAGTTCTCGATGAGAACGCCGACGGCTTTGTCAAAGGAGAGGCCGTGTGCTGTGCTTTCCTACAGCGCAGGCGCAACGCCCGGCGTGTGTACGCCACCTTGGTCAATGCCAAAATGAACATCGATGGTAATAAGACAACTGGTATGTACTTCCCATCGGCCGACGCTCAGGAGGAGCTCATGATTGATACGTACAAAGAGGTCAATGTGGACCCCCTGGAGCTCACTTATTTCGAGGCTCACTGTACGGGAACTAAGGTATCTATAACTTCTGTTAATATAAATTGTTATTGTTATTGTAATATAACAACTTATCATGGTAATATTTATAAACAAACATATTTTACTGTAATATAAGTAAGTTTAAAAGTGAAATCATTACATGCTTTGAAACATTGTGTGCATTGCAAAAATATATAATCAACAACAGATCAGCATAATTAATATTTTTCACACATTATTAGTATACAGTAATGTATATTAAAATAGTATGGATTTAATACTTTATAAATTACATACCATGAAATATGATATATTAAAATAAATAACTCATAAATGAATAACAAAACGATATGATTACAAATAGGCCGGCGATCCGCAGGAAATAAAGGCCATATACAACGCCTACGTGAAAGCTCCGGGACGTACTGAACCCCTGCCGTTGGGAGTGTTTAAAAGTAATGTCGGCCACTCGGAGGCGGGCTCTGGTGTGTCGGCATTGATTAAGGCGTGTATTGTATACGAGAATGAATGCATTCCTCCCAACCTTAATATGAAACAATTGAAAGAGGAATGCCTTCCCTATTGTCCACCAATTATGCCTATAGTGAAGTGCACGCCCTATAAACCAGGTTAATTAATTTTGCATTTGTTAATTTTTAAAGTTTAAAATAAAACATCGAAATAATATTTAAATTCAATATAAATTTTTCAGATATTCTTTTGTTATAGACTGTAATGATAATAATATCAATTATAATTTATAATATACAGTATTCTTACCATTTAAAACTTGGTGTTATTATTATAGGTTTAGCGGCAGTGAATAACTTCGGTATAGGGGGTGCGAACGCACACGTATTGCTCGAACCCAACCCTAAAGTGGGAACCAGTGATGGACTGAGAATTGCGGAAACGATTCCCAGAATTGTCAACATTTGCGGCCGAACTGAAGATGCGGTCAAATATGTGATGGATTTCATACAAAACAACCCAAAGAGAGTGACGAATGACTTTTTGGCACTTTTGGCAAACGCTATGAAATACACGCCTAATATTCACTCATCGGGAATGCCTTTCAGAGGTATTCATTTAAATCATGTGTAAAAATTAACACAAACTATACAATTAATTATAACTTTATTTAACTGTAAAAATAGGTTCACTTATAATAAAGAAAAGTTTGGAAAGTAATAATGAAATTAAATACGAATACAAGAGACAAATTGGTTTTCAAAAAGGTAAAGGTTTGCGACCGCTTTGGGTAATGTTCCCGGGTTTGGGCGGTCAGTGGCCGGCAATGGCTAAGGCTTTGATGACAATCAAAATATTCGCCGATAAAGTGGAAGAATGCCATCAAATACTCAAAGAGTTTAACATTGATTTGAAGACAATATTATTATCCGAAGACAAGACAGCAATGTCTACAATGACTGCAAAGTTCTGTTCGACGACTGCTATAGAGATAGCGTTGTTTGAAGTGATGAAAGCGCTGGACATCACACCCGANCGTTGTTTGAAGTGATGAAAGCGCTGGACATCACACCCGACGGCATAATTGGCCACTCGTTTGGAGAGATAGCCTGTGCTTACGCTGACGGGTGTCTCGACACACGAGAATCAATGGTCGTCACATCTATTCGGGGAATCGTTACGGAAAATGACAAAAATATACCGAAAGGACTGATGGCTGTCGTGGGGTTACCGAAGGCTGAAATGCAAAAGTTGTGTCCAAACGGTGTTTACATCGCCTGTAATAACGCTAAGGATAGTGTTGTCATATCAGGTATGCAACAAATTAAATGAATAAACAAACAAAATTAAAAATGTGAAAAATTTATTTTAAGGCCCGGAAAAGGAGATGAGAGAAACCATTAAATCGTTGTCCGCGAAGAGTATATTTGTGCGTCAATTGGAGAGCAGTAATATTGCCTACCATTCAAAATACATCCAAACCTCTGCCCAACCGTTGATCGACGCCATCGACAAACATATACCGCATCCGAAGCCGCGCTCAAAGAAATGGTTGTCCACTTCACTCATGACCGCTGACCCGAAGGACGAGCGGTTGCGGTGCGCGTCGGGCGCCTACTATGCCTACAATCTGGCCAACCCTGTTCAATTCTATGACCGACTCCATGAAATACCTGCCGATGCTATAGTACTAGAGTTGGGTCCGCACTCACTGTTTGGCAAAATATTTGCCGAAACACTCAATCAGTGCTCTTATGTATCGCTCATCAAAAAGGACTCAAACGACACGAATATGGATATGTTTTTGTCGGGTTTGGCCGCACTATACGAGTTGGGCGTTAATATGTCGGTCGATAAACTCTACCCGTGTGTCGAGTGGCCGGTCGTGAGGGACACCCAAGCGATAAACTCGCTGATCAAATGGGACCACAGCTCACATATTCACACACCTCTATATCCGGAGCGCTATAGCCGTACAAACGCTGCGGACATGAATGTGAACATCAATTGTCGCCTTCAGGAGGAATTAGAGAGCAGTAATATTGCCTATCATTCAAAATACATCCAAACCTCTGCCCAACCGTTGATCGACGCCATCGACAAACATATACCGCATCCGAAGCCGCGCTCAAAGAAATGGTTGTCCACTTCAGTCATAACCGCTGACCCGACGGACGAACGGTTGCGATGCGCGTCGGGCGCGTACTATGCCTACAATCTGGTTAACCCTGTTCAATTTTATGACCGACTCAATGAAATACCTGCCGACGCTATAGTACTAGAGTTGGGTCCGCACTCACTGTTTGGCAAAATATTTACCGAAACACTCAATCAGTGCTCTTATGTATCGCTCATTAAAAGACTCAAACGACATAAATATGGATATGTTTTTATACGAGTTGGGCGTTAATATGTCGGTCTGTAAGCTCTACCCGTGTGTGGAGTGGCCGGTGCCGAGACGTACGCAAGCGATAAACTCATTGATCAAATGGGATCACAGCTCACATATTCACACACCTCTATATCCGGAGCGCTATAGCCGTACAAACGCTGCGGACATGAATGTAAACATCAATTGTCGCCTTCAGGAGGAATCGTTTTATTTGGACCATCGCGTCGACGGCCAGTCTATAATGCCGGCCACCGGCTATCTGATGCTGGCCTGGCGTAAACTGGCGGCGACCATGGGCAAATTGTGGTACAACGTGCCCGTTATATTCGAGAGCTTACAGCTCTGACAGGCAGTGTTTATCAACAATGACAAAGATGTTATTCTTAACGTTAAATATTTTCCACTAACCGGTTAGCAATAAAAATAGCAAATTTTTACCATCATTTTTGCTTTTTACAATATTAAGTAAACATAAAAAATGTTCAAATTTAAATCAACACTCATTTATATTACCCATTACAAAATTATGATAATGTAATATGATAGTGATTTACAGTCATTTATAAAACCAATCTTACCCAGGTGACTTTGCGGTATACGAGAAGGACAACGCGTGTGTTTCGGGCAAAATCAGGGCGTCTGTGGGCGACGACACACTAATCGCGCAGCACTTGCTCTACAATAGTGACCGGCGTTTGGCGGCCGCCGAACACACCATACGTACGGACGATATTTACAAAGAGTTACGTATTATGGGCTTAGACTATAAGCAGTCGTTCAAAAGGCTCCGGACTGTGGGCACCGATGACTACAACGAGTTTTACGGTGTGTGCGAATGGGACGGCAATTGTGTCACATATCTAGACGGACTGATTCAGGTGAGGGGCCTATCGGTGCCCTTCCGGAAGTTACTGTTACCGGTGCTCATACGTAGGCTACGGCTCGACCCGCGGGTTATGTTTGACGCTTTTCGTAGCCATAGGCGCGGGTGAAGACCTAGAGCTGGTATGTAGTGCTGGGTCTAAGGATTACACAATAGGGATGTATGAATGCAGTGCTGAAGAGTGCTCAGTGCTCTGCTATTACATAAGGACCAAATAAACAGTTATTTTATATCTAAATTGTGTTTTATTTAATTAATAATAAGCAACCCCCGACTCAGCCCACATAATACAGAAATTCCCGTAGAATAGGGTTTTTCTATAACAATATATCATATGATTTGTAATAATCAAATGGTTTATACATTTTAAACAATTTCCGCTCTGTCTCACCCGATATAGGAATCAGAAGTATTGTCCGCTGTGTATGTCATTAAAGGCATGGATATGTCGTTTTCGTGTCATTTATGAAAATAAATAATTGTTTTTCCATTCGTTTTAACATTTTATTGAATTTAACAAATGAGTGACAAATAAAAATGATGTTTTCATTGCTTTAAACAATCATATCTTTTGGCCCTTCTGTGCGGCCGTCGCTCTGAAATCTGGCCAAAGCGGTCGGCCAAAGTCTGGCCGCGATCTCGTCACGTGTGGTGTGACGGCTCGCGCGGCCGACACATAGTCACCCGTCCCGGGTTTAAACAAATTATAGCGCCCGTTCCCAACGTATGCCACTTTTATAAACTAATTGGTGACCACTTTTTGCGCCACTTTCTTATCAACGGTGGTTTTGTTGGGCGACTTTGTCAGCGCATTTCCGGTCATAAACTTTTTGGTCTTTTCCCTGAAATAAGACCACTTTCTCCGCGCGATTCAATGACAACCTCTTCTGTTAAACGAGACATTGTTTTGCATACAAATTACAATCCATTGGTAATAACTGTATAATAATTCAAACAAAACTCACATAGATTTTGTCACCCCAGGGGGTGTCCGCCTACACCGCTGCTGTCCAGACACTCACCCCATCTCCACTCAATTCCCAGACAAGGTTTGCCTCTAATTGCTGGTAAAACCACTGGAGATATTGTAGAGTTGCCAAGGGCCACTCTAATTAATAATGTTGTTACTCAGTTGGTTTTGAATATAACTTTATTTATTATAATAAAATAGATGTTCAAGTGTTGAGGTTTGGATATTGAATGCATAGAGAATATTGTTTATCATTTGCTTATATGCAAATCATACAGGATGTAATTCATAGTTAAAGAATGTTATAAATGTGTACAACACATGTAGCAAGGTTAAATTAATAAAAATAGAAACATGTAGCTGTTTCAACGATATGGTTTATGTGTAGTGTTGGAATTTATATATTTTTATTAACTCAGTAAATATGGTGTTTTATTTGTTTTTATAGAATATAAGATAGAATTCGTTTTATATGTTCAATCAATTTCTGAAAAACATAATTTTATGTTTTTATAAATTTTTTAATTAAAAACAATCCTACTATTTATTAATTAACGACCAAAGAACAAAATTAAAATTTTTGATGTGATTAGAGATAAGCTATGCACTGCCAACGCTAGAGAGTCAATCAAGTGTGAAATTGCATTTCACTCATGAAATGGAATGTAAATACTATGAGTGACCATTCATTAGTGAAACAAAAAAATTATTTCAATCATACTTTAACTAATAAATTACAATCCGTAATTTCGGGCTATCAGTAGTATTTATTATTGAAGCAATAATTATTTAAATTTATGCTATTAATGCATATTTAGTAGTAATTTACATTATTTTCTAAATAAATATTTTGGTAGTCACAAGAATGTTTATTTATCATACTTTTAAAATCTAAATAATATATTTTTACCTTTTTTGTTATAAAAATGCGAATTTTATAGCATAATTCCACAACACAAACCCTTAAATTTAGTTTTATATGTTGAAACATATTCTGTCATTTTTTAATTTTGTGCTTTTTATGACGCTTTATTTGTTTAAACATGTTATGCTAGAGATTTCACTCCAGCTCCAGAATGCGGTGAATAGCGGTTAAATAGAGTGTAGCGGTTGAGCGCGCGAGTACACAAGGGAATTATTGTTATAAATCGAAAGTACACTCTGGAAAAAGTACGTTGGTATATTTTATTTGGCCAGACGAACTCGGGTTGGCCTCAGTGACCACACTTATTTGATATTCAAATTTTTTTATTTCAAAGAATAGATATGAATACACTTGCGTTAATTCACCTTTAGGGGGACGACTTTCAAATCCCCCAAAACGACTTTTAGCCCCAGCCCTTACCATAAGTAATAACGTAATGCTAGACATGCGTGAAAGCGCATCCGCCAAATTAACTCAAGAGTAGATATGGATGAGTGGAATATTAATTTGAAAGAATTAGCTAGTTTTGACGTAATAGACAAATATTATATCAAAATTAATAAAGTTTAACTTTAGCAACAACGTATCAGACTTGTGTTCTAATCGCTATAGGAAAATAATTGAATTTATTGTAAAATAATTAGATTTAAAAGGAGGCGCACAAAGACCAGACTTGTGCTCTAATCGTTTTAGGTGAACATTTGAATTTATTGTAAAACAAATGGATTTTCAAGAAGGAACACAAGCACTAGACTTGTGCTCTAATCGCTTTAGATGAACATTTGAATTTATTGTAAAACAAATGGATTTTCAAGGAGGAACACAAGCACCAGACTTGTGCTCAAATCGCTTTAGGTGAACAATTGAATATATTGTAAAATAATTAAATTTAACACGTGGCGCACAAGCACCAGACTTGTGCTCTAATCGCTTTAGGTGAACATTTGAATTTATTGTAAAACAAATGGATTTTCAAGGAGGAACACAAGCACTAGACTTGTGCTCAAATCGCTTTAGGTGAACATTTGAATTTATT